AGTGAAAGGATGGAAAAAGATTAACCATGCAAACGGAAATGAAAACCGAGCTGGAATAGCTATTCTTATATCTGATAAAATAGACTTTGAACTAAAAACCATAAAAAGAGACAATGAGGGACACTACATAATGATAAAAGGCGAGGGAGTACTGGGTTTAGTTCCTGAAAAATAACTACCACTGCCATAAAAACCCAAGAAAAATCAAACCCCACTAGTATAATAAAAATGGCATTCATGAAGAGAAAACAAATAAAAACGCTATCTACAACCTAAGGAACAAACAAACATAGAAAACAAACAGTAAATCAGAAAGCAAGGAACAAAAGACACCTAAGACAACCTAAAGAATCAGCAGAAAAACACAAGATCTAAACAATACTCTAGACCAATTGGACTTGGGAGATATCTACAGAACATTCCATCGAACAACCTCAGAATATTCATTCTTCTCATCAGCACATGGATCATTCTCCAGGATAGATCACATATTAGGTCACAAATCAAGTCTCAACAAATTCAAAAAAATTGGAATTATCCCATGTATTTTCTCAGACCACAATGGATTAAAACTAGAAATTAATAACAAACAATAACAAATGAAATTCTGGAAACTATACAAACACATGGAAATTAAACAGCATTCTACTTAATGACCTATGGGTCCAAGATAAATCAAGCAGGAAATCAAAAAATTTATTGAAAATAATGAAAATAATGATACATCATACCGAAACCTGTGGGATACTGCAAAAGCAGTATTAAGGGGGAAATTTATTGCATTAAATGCTCACCTCAGAAGAATGGAAAGATGGCAAGTGAACAACCTAACACTTCACCTTAAAGAACTAGAAAAACAAGAACAATCCAAACCTAAAGTTAGCAGACGGAAAGAAATCATCAAGATCAGAGCAGAACTTAACGAAATTGAAACCCAAAAAACAATACAAACGATCAATGCATCAAAAAGTTGGTTTTTTGAAAAGATAAATAAAATTGACAAACCACTAGCATGGCTAACAAAAAAAAAGGAGAGAGAAGTGTCAAATAACCAAAATTAGAAATGAAAAAGGTGATATTACAACTGATTCATCAGAAATACAAGGAATCATTCAAGACTACTATAAACAACTATACGCCAATAAATTTGACAATCTGGAGGAAATGGATAAATTTCTGGACACACAAGTCAGGCACAGAAAGAGAAATACCACATGTTCTCACTTATTGGTGGGAGCTAAAAATAAATAAATAAATTCACACAGACACACACAAAAAAGTGAGGGTGGGAAGAAGACTTAACAACTACAATTCCTTGAAGTTGATACGACAAGCAAACAGAAAGGATATTGTTGGGTGGGAGGGGGGAGAGGGAGGAGGGAGGGAGGTTTCGGTAATGGGCCACAATAATCAACCACTTTGTATATTGAAAAAAAAAATTATAAATAAATAAAAAGAATAATAAATTTTTTTTTTTTTTTTTTTTTTTTTTTTTTTTTTTTTTTTC